GACCTGAAACTTTTTACACTGTCAGTACATGACATACCAAAAAATATATATAGCAGGATTTTCAATAAGAGTGGTAGCAACTTTAATTTCTTGATTTTAATGACCTGAGTGGTAAGTACTTCAATGTTAACATAACAGTCGGCCTATTTTTTAACATAATTAATATCAATAATGCAATGAAGGTGTAAAAGTGCTTTCAGCTTAAAATGGTTCTTATTTTATAGTACAATTTAGCTTTTTACTCAGCGCTTTTACTTTTTCTGGACCCTGCAGCTGCACTGGATTGCATCAATTAAGCAAATACTTTGGTAAGCATGGCATAACTAGGGAACACTTAGGCTTGATGGAGTGGCTAACCGTCAAGAATGGTTAGCTAATCAGATCACTGTTAGTTGAGCATTACAAATACCTCTTTCCAGACATCTTTTGGCTTGGCTTGTAAATCTTATTGACAAAGTTTATGTAGACCCATGTGAATGCCTACTGAGTTTAGATGCCTCATGCTGGAAAAGGGTTGGTGTTAGATGCTTTATTCTAAACAGCTTTGGTAAATTCAGAAAGAATAAAACCAACAAAACCCCCAAACTTTTCTTACTTGAAATTGTGTTCATCTTGTGTGTTTTGCATACAATGCCTCATTTTCCTGGATGAAGAAAATATGGGTGTCACTGTGCTGATGCACAGGCCAGAACAGTGTTGACAGAGCCAATAGTCTCCCAGCTACTAGACAGAACTGCAGTCAGTAAATAAAGCCCTTATTTGTGCATCTTCCTTCTTTAAGGAGTCAGCTTGGTGGTGGTAGGGAGAGATGGCGAAGAGTAGCAACTGGATATCACAGTCATAATAGCTAACTGAGGGAATCCACCAGTTGACTGGGGGATTGGTTGGTTGGTTGTACTAGCAATGCTAAGAGAGAGGGAGAGGAAATTCTGAAAGGCCAGATGGGTTCCTGTCATGTCTCAAAAACTTTGAGAACAAGGCAGGGAGACTTTTATCCTTGTCTTTAGTAACCCTGGCATGGCATACGACCAGGACTCCAAGGCTGCCCAGAACTAGCTTGGGTTCACTCCCAGACCAAGGACAAGTTTAAAACTGGAGTTTTACCCTTCAAGGGATAGGGCACAGGTAAATCTAACCCTTCCATTGTCATGGACTGGGGCATGGGTGGTCAGTGCAGGGGTGGACAGGCCTGCAGGTCAAAGTAGGAGTCAAGAACCGAGCAGGGCAGAAGCAAGCCTGAAACAAGAAAGGCACAAGAGCAGTTGCAGGTATAAACACTGAGCAGCCACTGGCCAAGTACTATTGCTGGGTTTAAGTCCTGGCAACACTGCTCAGCCAATCAGGTGATCTGGCCAATTAGGGATCTCAGCTGTAGTTAGCTAGCTGATCCCAGACCCAGCTGCAGGACCTCACTGCAGACAGTACCCACCCCACATCCTTTGAAGGCATGTCCTAGGGCCTAGTTTCTCAGGATAAGCCCAATGGAAATCCTGTAGTAGATCCAGGGGGTGGATGTTTTCAATTTGTTTCCAAGATTGCTCATCTGGACCATAACCCTCCCAGTCCATTAGGTACTGGTGTTTTCTCCTAACAAATTGGGAGTCAAGGATTTGTCTGAGAAAGCATTCTTATTGCCCCCAGGGTTATGGGTGGTGGTACTGGGGCAGCAGTGATTGAGCAATATATTCTTAGTATGGGACTTAAGTGGGGAAATGTGAAACACTGAATAGATCTTGAGCAAAGCAAGTAGTTGCCACTTGAAGGCTAGAGGGTAGAGATGTTCCAAGATCTTGAGTGGGCCCAGGTACTGGTGATCAAGTTTGGCTGATGGGCAGGTCAAATTGAGGTTCCAGGTAGAGAGCTAAACTGTATCTTCTTCACCTGCCTCCCTCCAGCTGGGCTGGGGGCAGTCTAATGGCCTAGGGTACATTGTATGTGCAATTTTCCCATGTGGATCTTAATTGTACTTGGTACAGCTGGGCAGCCCAGTCTGTGGCTGCAGGTACCAGGGAGTGGGTGGGTATGTCAGGATGGAACTGAAGATCAGAACCATAGCTCACAAACAATGAGCTTTGTTGTTTGAGGTGTGGGTTGCATTTTTATAGGCAAATTCTGCCTAGTGGAGCAGAGAAAACCAGTTGTCTTGGTGGTCATTCAAGAAACAGTGTAGGTTCTGATCTAGAACCTGGATGACTTGTTGTGTTTGCCTATTAGTCTCTGAGTAGTAGGCAGATGATAGGATGGACTCTAAGCCAAGAAGCCACAGAAACTCCCACCAAAAATGTGAGAGAAAGTTGAGTCTGTAGTTTGATACAATGCCAGTTGGTAGCCCATAGCAGCAGAAGATATTCTACAGAAAGAGGTGTGTTATTTCTGGGGTGGTAGGGATGGTGCAGCATGGAACAAAATGTGCCATATTAATTAGGAGATCAACTATGACTAGTATCACCCTGTGCCCATGAGAGTGAGGCAGATCCACAATAAAATCCATTGATACAGTAGACCAGGGTAGAGGAGGAAATGGATAAAGGCTTGAGAAGGCCAAGCAGTTTCAAGCAAAGGGTCTTGTTTCAGAAGCAAATGTTGCAGGATTTTACATACTCCTTGTTGCATTCATGTAGGCCAGGATACCATAAACTCCACGATATCAGGTCCCATGTCTTAGACTGGGCAAAGTGACCAGCGAGTGGCATATCATGGCATAATTTCAGGACCTAGAGTCTAGGTTGACCCTCTAGAATATAAATATGATCCTTGTAATAGAGGAGGCCATCCTCTAGCCTAAATTCAGAGCTGGATTAGATAGCTGGATTATCCAGGGTCTGGAGGAGCTGGATTGTGAAGGGATTGTGGGGCAGCTGAGAATGGATGGATGGACATTAGATTGCTGTTGATTGACCCATTGACAGAGGTGGATGCCTTTAGAGAAGGAGAGAAGTTCTTCTCTAGGCTCACTGTACTCTTCTTTGTGTGACAGAGAATCTGCTTTTCCATTTCTAGCCCCCCAGGTGATAGGTTACAATAAAAATCAAATCAAGCAAAAGCGAGAGACTAGCAGATCTGACATTGATTGAGGTGTCTGGTCATCCGGAGTCAGTGAGAACCTGGACTGGGACCCAAGGTGCCTCCAGCAGGTGATGCTATTCCTTGAATACTGCCTTGATTGCCAATAACTCCTTGTCCCAGATACTGTAATCTTTTCCACTGAGGTCAGTTTTCAGGAGTAAAAGGGTGAAATTGACTGTGGGAGCCCACTGACCAGGACAACACCTTGCCTATGGCAAAGTTTGTTATGTCAGCTTCCATAATAAATACTTCAGCGGATAAGAATGGGCACCGTGGTGATGCCCTCTTCAGCTGATCAAAGGCAGACTGAGCTTCCAAAGACCAAAAGAACTATGTTCCTTTTCACAGGAGTGCCATCATAGGTGCAACCATGCTAGGAAATTCTTTGATGAAACACTGGTAAAAACTGATGAAACACAGGAAACGCTTTACCCTCCTATGTCCTTCGAGGGCTCCCTGCCATCTTGCGTGGGTCCATGGTTAGTCCCTTGAGAAGTCCCTTAGTACCATAGGAATTCAACTGTGTTCTAGTCAAACTTACTTTTCTCAAGCTTTGTGTATAGGTGCTTTTGCCAGAGTCTAAAAGGTGGCTCGTGTTTGTTCATGAGGATCCTGATCCTCAGAAAAAAAAATGAGGCTATCAAGGTAAATGACCACAAATTTGTTCAACATGCCTTGGAAGATATCATTCATGAATTGCTGAAAGGTTACCAGGGCATTGTATGGGCTGAAAGGCATGACCAGGTATTTGAAATGCCCATACCTGGTACAGAAAATGGTCTTCCACTTGCCTCCTCCTTCCATCTGAACTAGATTATAGGCTCTGTGAAAGTCCAGATTGCTGATGACCCTGGCAGAGTGCAGTCTTTGAAAGAGCTCATTAATAAAGGGTAATGGTCCTGAGTAGTAACCATATTTAATGCCTGGTAGTTCACATTAAGTACTGGAGAGAGGAGAAAAATGCCAACCCACCTCAGACCCCTGTGTTGGGGCTGGAGTTTGCCACTTCCTGAGCAGAAATATAGACTGGACTTTTCCAGGGCAGCTTGATGGAAAGTATCCCAGTTCAATGCAATACAGGCATAGGCCTGATACTGTAAGCCAGTTTTAATCTGTGTTGGAGAGACACAGCTAAGCTTGACAGAGCTGCATGGGTTCCAGCTGGATGAGGACACCAGGTGCTGGCAGACAGGACCTGGCAAGACCAGTGAGGGTTGGGACTGCCTGATGGAATACTGCCCAGAAAGAAAGTCAATCTTAATACTGAGCTCAATCAAGGCATCCAGGCCAGCCGGTGGCTCTATGCATGCAGGTTCATCTTTGGTCTCATTTTCGAGGCCAGATTGGAAGAGGTAGCACTGCAGAGCCTCACTCCATGTGGTATCAGCTACCAAATGCTGAAACTCTGCAGCATAATTAGAACTGGCCAGTGTTTCTGCGGCAAGATCTGGAGTGCAGCCTTGGCTGTGAACATGGCTCGGGTCATCAACAAATAGTTCCATGATGACTTCAACAAAGTCCTCAAACTGGTTCAGGAGAGGGCTACTTTTCCTGGAGTACGGAGGACCAAGCCAATGACTCCTTGGTCAGCAGGCTAATGGTAAGTCCCACCAGTGGCGTATCATCGCCTAGGCCAACAAGGCCTAGGCCTAGGGCGGCAAATTTTCAGGGGTGGCAAATTTAAAATAGCAGCCCAGCATTTTTGTACTTGCGGCATCGCGCGCTGCGATTCTACCAATCATGATAGCGCGTATTGAAACCACCAATGATGGCGCGATGGAGACACCATTTAGTAAGCAACATACTCTGGACTGGAATCACCACAATCCTAACCGTTAATTAACAATATGACTGGAAGGAAGAAATTAAGCAGTGTTCAGTTAAAAAAAAATGCTATACAGAAGAAAGAAAGGGAAAATGAAATGATAGCAAAAATGCGCAAAATTGATTCCTTTGTTGTATCAGTTAGTGCCGACAGTGAGACAGAAAAAAAAGTTGAAAGAAGTAGTGAAGTAAAAAGTGAAAATATTGATGTGTATAAAGTACATATTAAAACTAATGAAGAAATTCCAGCTGCGGTTAGTGTTGAAGAAAATGTTCCAAATACTAGTGTATCAGAGACTACCGGGAATCACGTTGATCTGGATATCTTTGACAATACTGCAGAGATTTGCAAATCACATCAATCAGAAATTCAATCTGATATTGGAATATCTACCATAAGTGACGACCCAGCCCAATGGATATTGAATGATGCTACAATTGAATATTTATCAACGCATGGTATTAAACAAAATATCGATAGTGATTTTACTAACTCAAAAAGGCAATATACTGATAAAATGCGTGTTCTAACAAAAAATGTGTTTGAACGACATCTTTTAAATGGTGAAGTAAAGCCACAGCAATATCTTGTATATTCAGAGAGCAAAGGAGCCGTGTTTTGTGCCCCATGTTGATTATTTGGAGGGATCTCTAATCTGGCAACGAGTGGATACCATGACTGGAAAAACATATCAACTCGACTACGTGAACATGAAAATTCGACTGAACCTAAAACGTGTGTACTGACAATGGTGAGGAGAGGCGAGATATCCGGAAGAATTGATATACATTTCAAATTTCAAATGGAAGAAGACATTATGTATTGGAGAAATGTGTTGAAAAGGATTGTAGCAGTGATAAAGAAACTTTCAAGCAGAGGACTTGCATTTAGAGGTAAGGTGGAAAAATTTGGATCACCTTATAATGGCAATTACATGATGGCCCTTGAGCTTGTCGCAGAATTCGACCCATTTTTATCAAGTCACATTGCACGTTATGGAAATGAAGGTCGAGGTAACGTATCTTATCTTTCATCCTATACATGTAATGAATTTATAAAATTGATGGCTTCAAATGTGATCTCAATTATTATTAAAGAAGTAAAAGAAGCCAAATATTTCTCGATAAGCATTGACTCAACTCCCGACATATCTCATGTTGATCAATTGGCTTTTATACTGAGATATGTAAACAATGATGGCATACCAGTAGAGAGGTTTCTTTGTTTTTTACCAAATACTGGCCACAAATCAGAACAGTTAGCTGATGCTGTACTTTCAACTTTGAATTGTTATGGATTAGATATCGCAAACTGCCGTGGCCAGTCGTACGACAATGCCACTAACATGTCTGGTGTATATAGCGGGTTGCAAGCAAGAATTAAGAATATAAATCCTTATGCTGTGTATGTGCCTTGTTCTGCACATTCTTTAAATCTGGTTGGAGTATGTGCAGCAGAAAGTTGTCAAGAAGCATGTTCATTTTTCTCAACTGTCCAACATCTTTATTCATTTTTTTCTGCCTCTACTAACCGGTGGGACATTTTACTATCTAATTTGAAGCCAGGCAGTAAAGTAATAAAAAGACTTTCTGAGACTCACTGGTCATCTCGAGTGGAAGCTTGTCATAATTTGAGTGAAAACTGGAATGCTATAATTAAAGCCTTAAAAACAATGAAGGAAGATGCTACTGAGAAACCTGTTACACGTAATGAAGCTGCAGGCCTGCAGCGAAAACTCGATCGACTTGAGGCAGCTTTTATGGCTGTATTTTGGAGCTCACTCTTGGAAAGATTTCATATAACTAGCCAAAAACTGCAAAATGTTTATATTGATATACAGACAGTTGTAGAACTCTACAACTCACTAATAGGATACATTCACTCTATACGGGACTTGTTTGATATGTACGAAGAGAAAGCCAAAGAAAAATCTGAAATTGAAGACTACGAACTTGACACAAAGCGAAAAAGAAAGCGTAAACTGCAAGTTGAGGAGACAGACGAAGTTGAAGTGGAAACGTGTGGTAGAGATAAATTTAAAGTAGATACCTTTTTAACAATACTAGACCTTGTATGTTCCGAATTGAAACGCAGAAGTAATGCGTATCAAGAAATTTATAGCAGATTTCAGTTTCTCTCTAACATTACCAATACTTCAACAGCAGATATAATAGTTCATGCTAAAAAATTACAGCTATGCTACCAAGGAGATTTAGAAGAATCATTTGTGAATGAGTGTCTACATTTTCGATCGTATTTGGAAGGTGTCAAAATTCCTGAAAATGAAAAGAAGTCAATTATAAGATATTGCAGCCTTCTTCGAAATCAAAACATTCATTCAGTATATCCAAATCTTGATATTGCCTTCCGAATGTTCGTTTGCACACCTGCTACAAACTGTTCAGCGGAACGAACATTTTCGGCTTTAAAAAGGGTGAAAAACTACTTGAGGGCTAATATCAGTGAAGAAAAATTAAACTCCCTTTCTCTCCTGACAATTGAAAAGGATCTAACAACTTCTCTGGATTATACAGAATTAATTAATAAGTTTGCTGCTCAAAGGTGTAGGCGTAAACAAATGTAATTACTTACTATTCAAATACTTTTATTTCTTTCATTGTATCTACATAAAATAAAAAAATAAATATTTGATATACACCGGACCCCCGCTTGAACGCAGCGTTTTGAATCCATGTGTGCGGTCCTGCGCGGTAATCGAAATCGCGCTATACAGACTAAAACTAAAAAAAACTAAAACAAGTTCATATGGGGCCAGCCGCCGGGGGCAGCAATTATTTCAGGGCCTGGGGGTGGCAAAATCATTAATCCGCCACTGAGTCCCACCCGGGACTGGTCAGTGAGGGAAAACTGCTGGCGCAGCAGGAATAGGCGCTCACACTGATTCATAAAACTGCAGAGCTGACTGCAGTCAGAATCAAACTTATTTGTTAGGAGAATTGTAGGTTCCAAAGAGGGAGGAGTCACAGGTGAAGAAGCCTGAGCCTGCAGTATGTCATTCTGCACCTGCAGGGCATTTACCTGCATCTGTAGGTTCTGTAGGGCACCCACTAACTCCATCAAGATGATGCTAGCCTTAGTGGGATCCATTCCAGTAACCAACCTTCTCCTGTCCCCTTCTTTACCTCCTTGTTTGTTTGGGCTGTTCAAACTGTCATGGACTGGGGCATGGGTGATCAGTTCTAATGCTCAGAGCAGTGACAGTCAGTCCTAGTAGTTGGAGCTGAAGTCAAGAGCCAGAAGCCAGAATCAGTAAAACATGAGTCAGAAACTGAGTCAGGCAGAAGCAAGGCTGGGAACAAGGTAGGCACAGGAGCAATTGCTCCTGTGGGCATAAGTATTGAGCAGCCGCTAGCCAAGTGCTATTGCTAGGTTAAACAGCAGCCTTGGAAATGCCAATCAGTCAATCTGGCCGATTAGGTATTTCAGGTGTGATTAGCTAGCTGATCCCAGGTCCAGCTACAGGCCCTTCATTCCTGTCTCCATTCCCTTATGAGCGCTGTAAATGTAATGTTGTCCTGACATGTCTATTAACAAAATATAACAGATAGTCCATCCATTTGACTTCTTAGCCATAGTCCACAAGTTCCACAAGCTCATAACCGTCTTTCATTTGCTGTTTCCATTTCTCACAGTAATCTTTATGGTCTCCAGGTGTACATACAGAGTTCATAGGTAAACCAAAGACAATGTCAATGGGCAAAAGGGGTGAATTCCACTTAATAAATAGAAGGGTGAGAACCTTGGAGCTTAATTTTGTGTACAGTTATAGGCATAGATGACCTTATTAAGGGAGCCTTTCCATTTTTACTTTTGTTCCTCTAGCAAAGTTCTGAATGTAGCTCGCTGAGCTTGGTTCAGCCTTTCTATGTCCCCCTTGCCCTGGGGATAACCTAAGGTTGTGTAAAATGTTTCAGTTTTACAGTAGTAGTGTAACCTTCTAAATAAATTATTTGCAAATTCTGCCTCTTGGTCATGATGAATCCGTTTGGGGAATCAAATTTTAAAACAAAGTCATTGAAGATCTTGTCTGCCACAGTCTTGCCTGACTTCTTGGTGATAAGGGAGGTTTGGGAAAAGGAGATGAAATAAGTCTATCGATACAAGTGCAAATGGTTCTATTGTAACTATGTTAGTTAGCGAAGCTGGTGACGTTTTTTTGCTTGATGCATGTACAGACTAACAACAATGTCCAATGTTCCACTTCATCTTTGGCCAATAAAACTGATCTCATGCCAGACTGATTATTTGCTTTGCTCCTAAGTGTCCCATCTCTTCCTGTGATATACCTGATTAAAACAAAACAAATTTTTGCTGCAGTTTCACTGCAAGTCATCGGAAGTGCCCAGAGATTCAAAATCTCTTCGGTGCTCATCATTTAGCTGGTATCAAAATCATCCTACCCGAATGAAGTTCTTCTAGCTCTCTCCCAGCCATTGTATTTGCAAATAATTAAATCTTCCTTGGCAACTTTTCCTGGAGCAGTCTGCAGCAGCTGAAGGTAGGTAGGTTTGTCTTTTGGAGAGATGGGATAATTGCAATTCAGCCTCTCCTGCCTGTACATCCCAACTGTTACACTCCCAGACCAGGGACAGTTTTAAACTTAGTGTCAAAAATGCAAACACATACAGCTTGCACAAGTCCCATTGTTGCTTAGTCCTTTCAAAGGACACACAACCAGATCTGTCCTCTTTGGCCCCTCAACAGACCTTCAATTCTTAAAGGAACAGGGCACAGGTTAATTTAGCTCAGACATTCTCTTAGCAGTGCTACACTTGGAACTTCCCTCCCTAAAGATCCCTCTTTTTTTGCCTCCCTGACAAGTAATGATCATCCAGCTTGGCATTAGTTGCCTTCTGGCAGCTGACATGGTGAGGGTGATATAAGACCTTTGGACCTAGCCCTTTTCCCAGAAGGTGGTTTAAGGTAAGAAGTAATTGTGGGGCAGATTAGGAGGAGAATAGGTCCAGTGTGAAGGGAAGAGGAATGGATGTTCAATGTAGTAGATATTTATAGTGAGGTATCATGAATATTTAAATGAATTTGTCATTGAGAGCCTCTGAACTCAAATATGATCTGAACCACCATTTACTGTCCATCTCTAGTTTAAGTATTTTTTTCTTTTCCTCCTGACAACAGAGGCTATGTTAAATGTGTGGTGGTTTTTGTTGTTGTTTTTTTGCTATTTATGGATACATTCTGTTATTTTTAAAATTTCAAATAGACAATTGAAACCTTAAAAAAATCACTGGGACAGGTGTTAATCACTGCTCAGAAATAGCTGAGGGAAGTTGTTTGGCAGTTTCCCAAGCAGAATTGAAGACAGACATCATGTGGTGGCCAAATGAATGTTTTGACATCAACCATTGTCTCACTTTGGAAACAGCTGAGAAGAAGCCAAAGGCTTTGGCTACACTTGGCTGTTTCCAGTATGACCTGAAGGATGATGCAAAGCAAATGTAGAACTTCCTTTGAAAAGTCAATTGTGATTTTTTTAAAATGAAACACATTTTGCTAGCAACACAGCCATCAATATAAGCCTGTGGCCTCTTTTTGCAATTTATTGGTGAGCATTTTTGTGCTGTAAAATCTATTTTTCCAAGATTGTTACATACAGTAGATAAAACACTTAACACCATGGACCTTTAAAAGAATGTTCCTTGGAGATTGAAACTTCAAAGTCCTTCACTGTGAACTGGAGTTTGGTCTTGCAAGATCAGGCTCTAAGGCTATGTCTACACTACAGAATTAGGTCGGATTTATAGAAGCCGGTTTTATAGAAACCGGTTGTATGCAGCCGATTGTGTGTGTGTCCCCACCTAAAATGCTCTAAGTGCATGAAGTCGGCGGACCGCGTCCACAGTACCGAGGCTAGCGTCGACTTCCGGCGCATTGCACTATGGTACCTATCCCACAGTTCCCGGAGCCTCCGGCGCCCATTGGAATTATGGGTTGAGATCGCAATGCCCGGATGATGCAAAGCAGTGCCGCGAGGGGTTCTGGGTACATTGCGTCAGGCCCCTCCCCCGCCGTCACAGCAACGGCAGACAATAGATTCGCGCCTTTTTACCTGGGTTACCTGTGCAGACAACATACCACGCCAAGCATTGAGCCCGCTCAGCTCAGCTTACCGTCACCATATCTCTTCCGGGTGCCGGCAAACGTGGGACTGCATTGCTAAACAGCAGCAGCAGCTTACTGCCTTTTGGCGGTAGACGGTGCAGCATGACTGGTAGCCTTCATTGGCGATCTGGGTGCAGGCAGCTGTGGGGCTGGCAGCCGTGGTGCTGCATTGCACCAGCCCCTTGCCTTTTGGTAGAAGATGGTTTATTACGACTGGTAACCGTCGTCATTGTACTGCAGTGGCTGTCGATCATGGGCACCCGGGCAGACAATGATGGTTATCAGTCGTAGTATGCTATTTTCTGCCAGGCGCCCTGCTGGCTCATTGCACGTTAGCAGAGTCGTAGTATGCTATTTTCTGCCAAGTGCCCAGTATTGTCTGCTAAGCACCCAGAAGAGGCCGATGGCGATCTGGGTGCTGGCAGACATGGGGCTGGCAGACGTGGGGCTAGATTGCTACACAGCAGCAACCCCTTGCCTTTTGGGCAGAAGATAGTATATTACGACTGGTATCCATCGTTGTCATACTGCAGTGGGCATCATATTGTGCAGTAGACCTGAAGGCTTACTGCCAAGCGCCCAGTATTTGCTGCCAAGCACCCAGAAAATGCCAAGGGCTATCAGTCATGCTGCGCCGTCGTCTTAAGATGTAAAAAATAGATTTATTCTCCATTCATTTGCTTCCCCCCTCCCTCCTGCTAAACCCAGGCTTTTGAGTTCAATCTTTGGGGGGGGGCATTCTGTGTGACAGTTGTTTGTGTTTCTCCCTGATGCAAACCCACCTTTCTTGATTTTAATTCCCTGTACCTGTACGCCATGTCGTCACTCGCCCCTCCCTCCCTCCCCCTCTCCCTCCCCTGGTCCGTCAGATATAAATTTTATTATAGAATATTTAAAAATAAACGGTACAAAAGATTTGAGGAGTCAGTTGTCGGTCATTGGGGGAACATACAGAGTATGGGGAGGATGTTGTTATGTCAGGGTTGGCAGCACACATAATACATATAGACTGTGATGTCTCGCCTTTTTTCAGACCAGACGCCATAGCCAGCACTGGGATCATGGAGCCCGCTCAGATCACCGCGGCAATTATGAGCACTATGAACACCACGCCTATTGGAATAATGTGTTGAGATCGCAATGCCCGGATGATGCAAAGCAGTGCCGCGAGGGGTTCTGGGTACATTGCGTCAGGCCCCTCCCCCGCCGTCACAGCAACGGCAGACAATAGATTCGCGCCTTTTTACCTGGGTTACCTGTGCAGACAACATACCACGCCAAGCATTGAGCCCGCTCAGCTCAGCTCACCGTCACCATATCTCTTCCGGGTGCCGGCAAACGTGGGACTGCATTGCTAAACAGCAGCAGCAGCTTACTGCCTTTTGGCGGTAGACGGTGCAGCATGACTGGTAGCCTTCATTGGCGATCTGGGTGCAGGCAGCT